GATATAGGGTGTACTCCTAATTCACTATAAAGGACCCGACATATTTAGTGAGACGCACAAATCTGGAAGGATACAGTACCGTATTGGCTTGATGTCCGCTGCAGGATTGATTTGTATCTAGGGAACTAATATCGGTTGTGGATAACGTCGGTAAAGCAATTCAGTGAACGTCCGCTATATCAAGTGGTATGTACTTGGCAAGCTAAAAAAATTGGGGGTGATATCAGCTATGTTGGCGAGTGTAGTATCGCAAGTCTAAAGTAGCGATCTCGGAAAACTGAAGTTACATTGCTGACTGGGGCTTTGAATTCAGGAATGTAGTTGACAGAGGTAGTCGTGGGGTTTCAAATTCTGAAATTGGCAGAACACAGTTGTTGTGTATTATTTCGAATATAATTATGTATGAAATTATCAAGATCTTCAGTACTGGATTGTCGAACAAATCCAATGGTCCGTGAAGAACATTTAGACTAGCTTTCGAGAGACAGTAACATCTAATAAACAATTCATGTGACTGCATCGGAACAATGACTACACTATAGGAGCGCCCGGGGTGGAACTTTTTGTTTTTGGTGGCCATATGTATAGATGCAAATATCCTATAAATGAAAAACCCTCTATCGTGGGAAAAATGAGTAATAAAAAAATACACTATGTTGAGTATTGTGCACATGCGGATGCAGTGGCTGCTACCCATTTGGTCCGGATAATAAAATAGCTGATACGGGAGTGGTACATAGTAGTATATGTGAAACATATAAAAAACACCGGGGGAAAGCAAAAAGAACCAATATTTATGCGATAAAATATCAGGAACGATATGATAAATTCAATAGCAAGTGAAATAGGAAATGTCTGTTAATTGTTGTGAAATCGAAAGAAAACCCTGCATTTTATCAATAACCTAATTAAGGGAACGCTGGATCGTATACATAGAATAGTTGACCTTTAAAAAATCTGGCTTGACATATCATTCGAAGCAATTGTAGATATCGACAGGATAGTGGATACGTAGAATTTCCTATAAGTGGTTAACTTAACTAAGCTCAAAATGACCTTGGACACTTCATCTATACGAACGTAAACGTATTTCCATGCTGCCCGCTATGCTGCCACTCAAATGACAGTCTTTTTGAGGAGCACGTTTGAATATCCTGCTGTAACATCTATGTTGTTGGATCAGCCTTGTTGGCCGTACACATGCTGAGCATCTCAGCACTACTCACATATATTAAAAACCCTATTTCGTTGTAGTCATTTCTTTGGCGATTTGTAAAAGCAATTTAACACCGATACTTGTTTGCCTGTAACTTGTTGATAGCGCATGAAGAAGAAAAAAGCCATACACATATTTGCAAAAAATTCTCCGTACCAGGCTCGAACTGGTGACTTCGGACTTATTAGGTCCGCACTCTAACCAACTGAGTTAACAGAGACACATTATTCTTGATCAAAGTATTACAGAATCAATTTTTAAGCCCAATCATATCGAAATCTGAATTCTTTATCAACAGGGAGACCGTCTTGTCTAGATTAGACCTAAAAATAGTATATTTTTAGCGGCTATTTTCAAAAGTGGCGAAGCCCCAAGAAAACACACATGGCTCAATATATGCTTTTCAAATTATATAGTTCATATCGAGTGAGTGTCCGCGTTTCTTCGTATACTACAACACTCACTCCATCTTATGGTACTACATAAGTCTGTGGCATGCAGGACATACACACAGGATACCACAGCGGTCTTTTCTGGTTTCAGATAGCGACAAATCGACTGATTTAAATAGGTGAAACCTTATGTATGGGCAGATGCGCTGCTGAATATTGCTCAATAGATCACACAAAAGGCAAATCCGGGGCACCGTGTACCAGTCAATGACCTTAACGGGTTTCGAGAATGGCTATATGGGATAGGGCGAATAAGTAAAAATGATCCAAATATAACTGATCAGTGGCTGATGCAGGAGAAAACGAAGAAGCATTTATATTCGCAGCTCGGTACAGCCTTTTCGAAGCTAGTAGTGTGTGGTGCTGCACGCTCGTGACCCTTTTTATACGATGCCACTCCAAAAAAAAATCTAGCATAGACTCCCTCGATACGTGTGGTAGCAAATGCCATCTGTTTTTCGGTACAACTGCGAATTTTTGTTTGTACTGAGGGGGCACTGGACACACACCATAGGCTTGTAGATGTATAGGTTGCTCAGTCAATGGAACATATTCCCCACTACTGTACCCAGCAATCCATTCCTCCGACACTATACCACTGACTGCGCTGACAGTACTATCGTCGAGATCCACCCTTCTTGATAGTGCAAAGCATTTGGTTTTCTGAATGTCAAAAACTAACCCGTGTGTATATGCATTGTATACAGATTCGAAGGCCGACTTACACTTGTTGTAGCATATACTGCCTAAAGCTTCCTCTAGTGCCGCTAAAATATCGTGCTCGTTCTGCAGCATCATTGTCGCACAGACGGAATTCATCAGCTGATCGATATTTTTGCCACTTAGATGGCCGCCTCGTAAACGTAAGTGCTTGGTATAATCACACCCTCTTAAAATACACCTTGCCATATACGAGTGGTGGTTTAAACCAACATGTGCCAAGAATTCTTTCGCTGTTCCTTTGTGTATATGCCTACCCTGAATGTCGTAAGGCTAGATTTCGATGCCTCTTTGGTTTATTCGTAACAAACATCAATGCCCTCATATACTGTCTTATCAGAGTCGCTGGCAGCAATAATGGCACTGTTTCCCAGCATACGCGCTAAATACATCTCTGAGAGTCCGCCTCATATGGCGCTACTATGTATCCCCATCGATTTTTCAGGTGGCATCTAATACTTACACTAGCCGCTAACAACAAGGGCCTTCGAGCTCGAGCCATGCCATATCTTATATAAAGCAAGCCACTCTTGCCACGCAGTCTCAGCTTCCTCCCGACGCCTTTGTTTCTCTTGCTGTTTGGCCGGTGGAACTCCACCATCTAAAACGAAATAAACGGACGCACAACCTAATGTCTTAGTGCACACGTCATCAAACTGCTTAAACGTCGACATTTTATTCTTCTCTACAATGTCAGTGTAGCCTCCATTTTTGTGCACATATATACCTGCGATTTCAAGCGTCTTTAAGTATTGACCAGAAGTGGTTGCGTGTATCGCTTTGTGAATCAGCGCAGATGCATTCACTATTACGATCTTATTCTCAATCAACGGCGCTAAGACCGTTACATGCATTGCTTGTGCCTTTAACAAGCTGATACTTGTTACTCTCGCATCACCTTTATTATCTTTTGATACCACTCCCATGAGCTTCAGTGCATCTGTTTCTCCCATTTTGCTTTTTCTCAACGCATGCGCTTACTTGATCGGCTATCTCTACTTATCTATATCTTTGGCCTATTCGGCCGCGTAGTATTATTGATATTTCTCGAAATCTAGCTAAGAATACGCTGCCTATCTCTTTTGCACTCGTTATATTTCAACGCGGGTGTTTAATGCACGTCAATATGCGCTCTATAGGGACTTGAAAGCGTATGAACTGAATACTTTCGGAGACTTATACCGTGTTTATCATACATGTGTTGCAAAAAAAGCGCCACTTTGTTCTATAAAAAAAATAAAAGTCTATTGGACGGAAGCGAGGTGCATTCCAAATTTAGGAAATCAAAGATTATGACGCACGCCACAGTTGTTTATACTGAAAAGCGCGTAAAATATACCAAAACTCGTGCATTTTTGTCCATATTGTGCACTATTAAGGTGGATACGTACGTGTAAGAGAGTGTTCAGGCGCTGTTGGAAGTTGTTGTGGTGTACTGAATACGGAGAGTAATCATAGCGATGAGTATGCAAATAGCAGACGGAGTAGGAGTAAATCAGTGCAGGCTACACGAAGGTTAGATAGTGTGAGAAGAGGTGTACGTGTACACGCGATGGGAACTGTTTGGTTCCGTATGATCATATCTTCATACTTCCCTGTAAAATGAAGCAAGTGATAGGTCGAAGTTGGATACAACGCATATACCCTGCAGAGAATAAGGAATGTATTGATGCTATTATGAACTCGGAAATGATACTTTACATCAATGCGAAACAGTTTGCAAATGGGATGTTAGCGTGGAAAACGGAAAACTACACCAAGGCGTTTTAGAGTGTTTGTTGGATGGGGAACTATAAGTAAAGTGGGAGTGTGTCTAAAGAATGGTGTGTTCGAATACCAATTTATATATGATCTGACCCTCAGTTATATACTGACGGTGTTTTTACTAGTGTTTAACCAATTGGGTTGGCAGGTTTTTCTATGCAAGTCACAAACACAGA